TTTTAGAAACATTAAATGAGATAAACAAAGCCAGAACATACATAGTACTTACTATGAGCCTGATACACAGGGAGGTCAGATAATTTGCCTGTGGAAACACAGCTAATAAAGGATAGAAGTACAGTCTGAACCCAATCCTTCTGGGTTTTGAGTCTGTGCATTTGACTACTATGCATGGTTAAGGTAGAGAAGCTGCTTAGTAGTGCCTGGTATGTAAGAAAGTCTCACTAAATGCGAACTAGTAATTTTCGTATAATTCTAAGGCTTGGATGCCTCTGCCTTCTTTAGGGTCACTTCTATAATATCAAAAGATGTAGAAACAGATGTAAAATGGATAATTATTTTATCCTCTTCTGTCAAATTTGATTAGAATATTGGAAAGTTCATTTCAGATTTACAAAGATCTAAGAATAAAGAAAATAATAAAACCATGGGTTTTTAAAAAATTAATTTAGCAATTAATTATTGAATTTCTACTATGTGCAGATCACTGTACTAAAATAATTGAATTTCCACTATGTACAGATCACTGGGATGAAAGGAAGATGAATAAGACGTGGATCCTCTCTATGAAGGAGCTTAAAACCTAGTACTAGTCACAGAGTGCATAATATTGAGTACTGGTCACAGAATGGATGCAGAAGGGCAGAGCATAGCCTGTCAGTGGACCAAACTATATTTGAAATTCTAAATTAGAACCCTGGTGTTACAGTAGCTGTGTGCTCTGGGCAAATCACTTAAGCTCTTCAAATCTCAGGGTTTTTGTTTTTGTTTTGTTTTGTTTTTTAATTGTTGTTGGGGTGGTGGTTGCTGGTGTTTGTTTTCTAAATCTTTAAAATGGAGATAATTATGCCTAATTCATGCTGTTTAATGAGAATTAAAATAAATAATGGAAAGGAATCACTCAGTTCTTAGCAGGAAGTAAATGTTCAGCAAACGACCACTTTATTCGGGAAACGTGAAGTATGAAAAACTTGCCCGCTTGGCACTGATAGAGAGGTTTGCACCCTCCCCCATGAGGCAGAGGTTGGGGAGCCCTCCACGTGCTGTGCTGGGGTCTGGGAGAAAAAACAAACGCAAGCTGGGGTGCATTTACTCCTTAGAAAGCTGAGCGGGAGAAAAAAGAACAGCTGCCTCTTTGGATGTAAAATCACCAGAACAAAGGTGATTCCCCTACCACCTTTTTTTGTTATAGAGGTACAAAGAGAAAACCAAAATATAAGAAAGAGAGCATGTATGTGGGTTTTGATTTTGTTGTATGTTTACGAGCTCTGATGAAGGCATCATGCTCTGAGCTGGGCAAGTCAGGGAAGGCTTCACGGGAGAGCAGAAGTTGAGGGGAATGGGAGAAAGCCATCTATGAAGTGGCATGGCAGGGGTGCCAGGCTGAGAGGCACAAGGCCTGGGAGTGTCCTTTCTTTTTGCTTGGGACTGGAGCAAATCACTGAGATCCCCTAAATCTCAGTTTCTACTACTTTCAACCAAGGGGGTTAAAGTATATCCATACTTCTTCTCAGATCTAGATGGCTGTCATAATTCTGCGCAGAGCTTCCTATTAGTTGCCCAACTTCAGAACACTAAGGTCTTTTTAAAAGCACCCCAAGTGATTTTAATGTACCATGAGGTTAGAGAAACAGTAGAGTAAGTGATCTCTTAGGTTCTGTAGGATGGATGTCAAAGGCCACCCAGTCTGGGTGGACTAGTGAGTACCTGGGTATGTTTAAACCTTGGTCAGAACTGTATTATAGAGGGTTTTAAACTGAGTCTATCTGTAGGCAGTAGAGCATTAATGAAGATTTTTATATAAGGGAATGTGCTGAAAGCAATGCTCTAGGGAAAAAAATCTATCTTTCAGTGGTCTGTATGTAGAAAAAGAAGAGAGAGAGAACTAGAAATGGGTTGTTAACTAAGGATATGAACCAAGGTATTAGCAAGCAAAGCTGAGTGAGATAACCCAATAGAATGCAATAACCCAATAGAATCGTAGGACTATTGCTCTTGTTTTTTAACAGGGAATAATTATCAGAGAAATGTGGGCTGGACTGTAATGTAGATATAAAATGGGATGCTACTGAATTCAGAAACAAGTTGAAATGAAATTCAGTTCTCACATGGTAATCATGTTACTACAAACCAAGGAAGATTCCATTTAGATGAATTATCTGCTATAAGTTATTGTGTCAAAGCCACAGCAATTTCATAAACTACCACCAAAGGGTGAGCAAAAGAGGGACTACGGAAGAAATATATCTTTTCTACTATTCCTCTACCTTTCAGAAACAACAACAACAAAATTACTGCTTATCAATTTCTTGGGCTTTTGTAAAAAGCATTTTAAAATATCTGTTAAGGTGGCACATTCCTGAACCCTATTGGCATCTAATGAATGACTCTCAAAGATTCCCATGAGAAAGCAGTCATCCAAGAGCACAGAGCCAAGAGGAAATGTCCTGTCTGCTCAAGTGTTTGCATCTTGTAATACTCTTATACTAAATGAAATGACAAGATACAATGGTTTTCCAAAAGTATGTCAGTCGGTCCCTCCAGCGATTAATAGAAATAGTTTTTCAGAAAGAATCTGAGTTCGCTATGAATAACTTTAATGCTAACTTTTCCATTGTGTCACACGAATGTTAATGGATGACCTCAAGTATTTGGATTCATAGACTGTATTAAGTGGTAATGAATCTCATTGAGATTCATTAATAATAAAAGGTTTAAGTTGCCATGCTAACTAATGTGAGCCATGACAAATGAAAATCATTAAATTTTATTATCAAATTGTTTTTTTTGGCGGGGGGGGCGGGATTCCACTGATTTTGAAGACTATCTAAGCTAAATTATGTCCTGAAGGATTTAATTTTCAGCCTTAATTTCCTGAAGTCCGTATCTTCCTTTGGATTTTAGGAGGATTTCCAAATTAAAATTAATAAAATTTACAAAATCCTTGGGGGAAGAGTTCTGCTGACCATGAAATCAGTAATCAAATTACCAGAATTAAAAAATAAGTTTTTACTTAAAACATGTACCTATAGAAGAAATACTTCAAGGTATATTTTAGAATAGAAACCCAAGAGTGTGTAAACATAGTGGACTCCCATAGGGTCTTACAGACACTCTCCAAATATTTATTGACTAAATGAATGAATCAACAAGAAAGAAGCATTTCTTGCTGCTTTCTTATAACCAAGCAACTTTAAAGCCACATCCCAAGGATGATATACTTAAGGACACAGGTGTTACACCTTGATATCAAAGGCAGGACTGTGTATTGAGAGGAGTCCAGTAGGAGTTAGCTAGACCCCAATAATGAGAAGATAGCATAGACAGCCACCTCCCTTGAGAAATAGCTAACACATAATAGACAATGATAAATATTTGCTAAATTGAATAGTTAAATGCAAGGTCTCTGCTGGAAACATGACTTTTTCCCCCAAGGTTTGTGATAAAAGACTATCTCCTAAGTAAAATCACCTTATAATATGCTGCTTCTAGAACCTGGAACTCAAACAGGTGGAGTTAATATTAGTTTTCCATAGATCTTTATTCTACAGAGACTTAAAGCCATAGGGGTTTTGTAGCAGGAGTGCTCTCAGCTGCCTTTGATAATTCATGGAGCAGTTATGCTGAAATCTCAGTGCATGTACAGATTACCTGACAATCTTTTTTAAATGCATGGTCTGATTCATTGGGTCTGGCTTGGGGTCTGAGACTGCATTTTTAATAAGCTCCTAGGTGATGTTGATAATACTGGTCCATGAATCACACTTTGAGCAAAGTCATAAAAGGTGGATTTCTAAGTAGTTAGAATAGACAAGTGTGGAAGAACATTGGATCTTGACTCAAGACTGATTATGTGAATATGATGAGTCACTTGACTTTTCTAAATCTAAAATTTCTCACTAGAAAAATGAGTATAATAGGACAATAATACCTGCTGCAGGGGATTCTTGTGAGAATTAAATTAATAATGTTATGTGAAAGTTTTACCAGAGCGTATGGTAGATAGCCATTGCTGAATAAATAATCGTTCATCCTAAATAGTATAAACATGAGCACACAATTCCACATTGGTAACTGGTAAAGATGAGGGACCCTTCAGCTGTGTGCTCTTCATAGTTCCAGGAGTTCTATTCTTCGTTCCACTTCTTTTGCCTGTTACAAAGTCTAGCACTTAGCAAGTGATTAGTGTTTGTGGAATTGTACTAGTACCAAAGTTGATTATTGCCAGTGTACATTTTTAGCTTCAAAGATATCAGTGTCAGAATAATAACCCAATGTTTCCCTATGACATGAGCAGGAAAGAAAACTGTCACCCAAAATAATGTAACTTTTGGGCCTCAAGTCCTTTTTGAACCAGAATTGTAATCATTGAGAGAAGACCAAAATAAAGAACACAGAGCCAGCCTCAGTTCTCAATAAAAATATAAAATTACTGATCATTCTTTGCCAGCCAGTAGTCACAATATTTTCTGATTGCATAAATTACGTATAAAATATATCTGTCTTATGAAAAAAAAAAAGACTAACATAGGTAGTTTGGCTGGCTTGTCCCTGATGAATGGCACTGGCCGTAAGGAGCCCAGCCTGTAGCATGCAGCTGGTACTACAAGGGCTCAAATCATCTTCCACATCATGGTAAACTGGCTCCCAGGCCACCTAGGTAATGCCCCCACATTGCTGCTCCGAGGGTCTAACTTTCTGGTTAAAAACTTGTAAATTATTAAATAAAACTCTCGAAAAGTGCATAGCAGGAAATAGAAGTTGGAAAAATTAGTGGATACCTTGCAGCATCATTTGCATCTTAACATCTCTTTCCACTGAGAATTCAGGGACAGAAACTAACACTGAAACGGCGTAGATCAATTCATTTGCAATATAATCCAGAGTGAGTCAGTTAATCTTTGCTAACAGAAATAAGATCTTAAAGTCTAATCAGAGGATTTAAACAAAGTTTTATTCAAAGATGTTCTTTTTCCACCCCCTCTTATAATCTGTAGGTCCCAGGAGAAAAAAGAAGAGGCTATCGCTTTACTGAAGGATTCCATTAAATATGGTCCAGAGTTTGCAGATGCATATTCAAGCTTAGCTTCACTATTGGCTGAGCAGGTGATTTTTTTTCCATTTAATGTCATTTTTTTTTTTTAATTTAACTGTTGAATGTGCAAAGTATTATTACACAGATTTTTAGTACTGATGGTTTCATTTGTAAGTTCATACTGGACAACTAATCTCTATGTCAGTTTTCTTGACAGAAATTACAAGCCTAGTATTATCATTCCAATATTCTCTGTGTAGTGTAGGTGGTCTTTAGACAAAGATGGTCCATTATAGGCCGTTGACATATTCTGTATCACTTTGCGATAAAATCTGTGAAGAATACATGCTATTTCCTGGTTTTATTACTGTTTATTTATTACATTTGTCTCTGGAATTACTAAGATATCTAAACTCAAAATGGAACTTATTACCAGTCATCTTATAGAGCCTATGTCTTAATACCTGTTAGAAGGTCACAGACGCTTTTAGGACAAGCTCCTAAAAGATAACATTTCTCATGGCATAAAATAGAGAGGTATTTTGACTTCCCTCCTTTTCACTTGTCTCTAAATGATTTGATACCACTTTTCAGTGTCCTGGATGCATGCCCCTTGTTATGGGAAAACAAATGTAAATTATCTCCTTTAAATTGATTATATAGTCTTGTTGACACACAAAAGTGCTCTCAATAGACAGTGAGTAGATTCTGCTATCATGCAATTGTCATATTGTCTTTAAAATCAAACTCAATACCTTTGAAAGCGGCCTTGCAACACTCAGATGGCTTGAATGTAATGAATAATTTGATACTGCATGTCGAGTACATAGGACTGCAATTTGCAGTCGAAAAACTTTGGAACTTCCACCAGGAAACAAAATTAGGACATTCTATGGATATTTAAATGTCAGAAATGGTAAGCCTAGTTGTCTTGCTGTAATAGTCTCCATATAGTATAGGAGGGCTTTAGACAAAAGCCCATGTGTATAGTGGATGATTTTAATGCTAGTTTTAGCACAATATTTAAGCTAAAATGATGATGGTCATGTTCTATGCTATACATTTAGTCCTCAGCTGCCCTTGGCTTGTCCTGAAGCAGGCACAGTAGTTTTCTGAAGAAACATTGACTCTATCATTATTCGTTTTTTTCACCTCATCTTGGCTCCTTCATTTTCATAAGAAGACCCTCACCCTGCCTCTGCTTGGCTGGTTGTCTTGTAGCTACTTAGACACTTCAAGCATGCTTCTCTATCAGGCTTTTATAATAACTGTTCCCTTTGCATACACACTTTTCTCCCAGATATCTGAGTTTCCGTCCTTATGTCCTGTTGGTTTCAGCTCAAATATTACATCAAAGGGGTTGTCTGTGATTGCCCTTTCTAAACAGCAACCTCACACTGCCCAGCATGTTCTCTACCACTTTGCTTTATTCCCCCTAGCATTTATCACCATATAACATATGTTTATTTGTCTGTCATCCTTCTCCCACCACTAGAATACTTAATTCCATGATAATGGATATCTGTTTCACTCATGGCTGTAGCCCCACATTTGTCACATTGTATGTAATCAATGAGTCTTGAACAAATAAATTAATCCACACACATATTCTAAATCCACTCTTATACCACAAGGAGGGATGGGAATGTGGGCCGCACTGTTTTGCAACTGAATTGTGCCTCAGCATGATGCTCTTATCCTCCACTGAGGGTCAACATGAAAAACAGCTGTGTGAAACTGCTCATTATTTAACTATAGGGTCGGGGTGGGGTCGAGGCCAGCACTTCCTACATCATTCAGTGGCTTCTTTATGAGGACTCAAGGGAGACACTTCTCTTGTCTCAGTATTAGGAAAGGCTAGGCTTCTGAATTAAAAGATTTTTGTTTTATTTTTAATCTAATGAAAAATCTTGCAAATGCTAGAAAGGTTAACTCTCTTTCTGTCCCCCTTGCTCCCCCTATCTCCAACTAACAACCATGTGGATCACATAGTTTGCTTTTCTGTATGTGCTGCTTTCATTCCTGGGTTTATCATTTTCCTTAGAATTTACTTTATTCAGTTTATGTCCTGTATTTTTTAAAGCTGCCTCATTTTCTTTGTGGAATAAGGAGGTATAAGTAAGTAAATAAATAAGGCATTGCATTAATGGTTTCCATTTATATCTTTTTTCGCAACTCGCAAAGGCAGATAATAAACATTAAATTGCCCTTCTTGATGAAAATTACTCTTAAGGTCAATGACAATATCACTTACCTAATACCAATCATAACCCTGTATGTTGTGTTTCGGAAGCTCTTTACAAATATTCACACAGTTCCGTCTTTCTGTAATGCCATCTCCTTTCTCGCCCTCTAAACCCTCCCTGTTTTTCAAGATCCAGTTCACCTTCCACTTCCCGCCCCCGCAACATTCTCTCACTTTCTCATCTCATGGTGAGTTGTGTTTCCTTGGAGCTCCTATAACATTTTGAGGAAACACATCAACTCACAAACTAATCAGATATTTTTATTTTTTGAATTAATATTTTGAATTGTAATTTAAACAGTTTTTCCAGTTTACTTACCTCACGAGACTACACATTTCTTTAAGAAAAGCAGTGTCTTCTTTGCATACTATTCCTTCTTTGGGTCTTAGGATAGCTCGCTGTGTAAGGCAGGCATTCATAGAGCATGTCTTAACTCAGTCACTTTGGCATTCAGTTACTCTGGGCTGTGCTGTTAGGAGCATTTGGCGGTGAACTGAGACACCTGATTCTAGAGCTCACTTCATAGAAACCAACTGCACATTTACTCTTGGATAAAGAGTAATTTACCTCTCTGGGCCTCGGTTTTCAAATCTGAAAAATGATAGTCTAAATTATCTTCACTGTATCTTATCTTATGCCTCTATCATTTTAGAGTGTCTAAAACTATCTCATTTAACATCAACTAAGTAAGTTCTAATGAATATTTTAACAAATAGCAAGACTCCACTGTAATTAGTGCTGCTGTTTCTATACAAATAAAGTATTAATATGTTTATATTGTAAAATGTGATTTGCCTTAATAAATATCCAAAAGTTTCAGTTGTATTCTTTTTCTAAATTGATGAGCTCTAAGTTCATAAAAAAACTACTATTTTAAAAATGATTGAGCTGTTTAGTGATCTTGAAATTTTAGTCCATTCTGCAGTATCTCACTATTCACAAATTTTATAGACGGTAAAGACTAAAAAGGATGACATTTATACTTTTTCCTCAGTTATTTTTAAGTAGTGTCAAATGCTTTATTTAAAATCAATTATGCGATAAATTTAATTTTTGTGAACCACAGTGGCAAGGTGATATAAAGTTATTGCATGTCTCAGAGTTGAAGTTATGAACAATTTTCTAAGAAAAATAAATTGTGACCATGACCATGATCTTTTCTTATATACAGAGGTCATATCTTTTGCCAGTATTTCCTTCTCTAGATTTGAATATAAAATGCTATGAGATTGAATAATGTAATTGAAAGATTGAAAGGTTCTCACTTCTCCTCCTTCAGGCAATTGATTTTAACATCAAAGAGACAAAGTAGCCTTTGGACATAACACGGGATTGCCTCCCTCTCTTTCAACATCTTGTCTTCATGTTTTGAATTCTTTAGTAATAAAAAGAATGTGTCAGATACACACCAAGGCACAGAGAAACTACTAAAGAAAAATCCACCTAGCTTCACATTCTTTGACATTAATCAAACTCATTTCTTGGTGACACAACCTTATGTAACAGCATTCCATAATTTCAGACACCTAAGGTATATGAAAGCAATGTTTACGAACCTTAGCCAATCTGTGACACACTTGTTGAAACGACCCCCTTACGGGTCACCTTCCAGTGCCACCTGTGCACACGAAACAGCCCATCTCACTGAGGTTGTGGGCCAATCTAATATTAGAAAACTCTTTCTTACACTGAGCTGAAACCTCCAGTCCTGTAATTTGTTCCTGTTGGGCCCAGCCCAACAGAGAGTTTGTGAGTACAGTTTATGAACACAGCTATCTTACCATTTCTCTAATCTCTTTTCTATGCTAACCCCATTTCTTTCAACTTGTTTCTCATTTACTCAGGTTTCCAAATACTTTCCTTCTGGTCATATTGCTTTTCATAGCATCTGAATTGTCCATTTTCTCTATGATAATATGGCTCCCAAGTTGAACTTGCTTCTCAAACTGCAGTTCATAAGCTCAGAGTGGGATAGAAATACTTCTTTCCTTATTTTGAGATCCTGTGTATTATATGACACCTCTGAAATGAATACTGTTAGATGTTTAGCATCCTCATAATGCTCTGGCTCAGAATGGAGATACAGTCAACCAGAATTCCTAAAAAATGTTAAGGTTTGTTACCTCAGGTCTCACCCTTTTTTTCAGGCAAGTTTTTATAAATTGGATGAAAGGATTCATCTTTACCCGTATTTAATTTCAACTTCTTTATATCAGCCTGAAATTTCTGGTGTTCTAGGACCTCTTAATCCTTTTTTTCTCCCATTCATTGTATTAACTACCCTTTCCAGCTATTTTAATTGGCAAATTGAATAAGAATATCTTCTAGTTATTTGCCAAGATCAGTAGCTGGTAGAAAGCCCCATATTGTATCTGTAGACTCTTCTGTCCAGGTGATCTCTATTTTACCCAAGACACTTTAGGTGTAGTTATTTGACTTTTGGTTAATTTATCAAATTATATTATCATTCAGCTCACCTCTTTCAGACTTGTCTACAAGGATGTTGCGAGAGATTTGTCAGATACCTTCTGAAATCCTTCCTCTGATCTAAGGTTGTAATTCTATCCAAAAAAAGGGAAGCAAGGTTCATTGGGCGTGCCTTGCTCTTACACTAAGTATGCTGCTGTCTACTGATACCGTTTTCTATCTGTACTCACAATAAAACCATGAGTTTAATAATCCTTTCTAGAGTTTGTCTCAGACTAATATTGTGTTCCTCACTCTGTTGGAACTGAAAGTAGCAAGTAAATCTGGGCACAGTGGAGAAGGGGACATTTGAAAAACAGGTTACTAAGTTTAATAAGACATTATATGGTGGAACATAT